CCGGGTGCTCCAACCACCGCCTACGATCTACGCTCCCGCTTTGCTAACTCTTCACCTAAACATACCTTGCCAGATGCGGCTCTCAATCTTCCAGCGAATACCGAAGCCCTCATAGGGGTGAGTTGTTGCTCGGTTACAAAAAAAAGTAATGCCAGTACGAAATAAGTGCGGACCATATTTTTAAATGCAGTTCTTAGAATCTCCATACACTATGAGCGCTCTTTTTGATTTATTATGAAACCAAACTTTTGCCTTTTTCATTATTACTGTGCGACAAGCAGTAAGTGTCGATCTAGTGGAAATGTGGTTTGGTCAGGGTGAATGGAGCGTTCCCTTGATTCTTAGCTAGCTTTGCTTCCAGCAAAAAGATGTTTTTTTTTGGGCTTAGGAAAGTCCTTCAGAGATTCTCTATGGAGTAGAGGAAGCCATTCGATTAATAATAACCGTTTTTCGCAAACATTCGGAAAGCAAATTTTATGTTTTATCGGCTTCGTTGTATTTGTAGATAGATTACAGGTAAGAAGGAACAAACAAACTGCGTAGGAAATTGGCAGCTGAAGGTAGGAAGTCATCAGTAGTGTCTGAAGATTTCGCTACCCAGCTCACAAATGTGGGCCTTCGGAAACAAAGGATTGGATAGGCAACGGTAAAACATACCGATGCTGAACAAGTATCAGGAAAGGGTATGTCTAGTGGTTACGACTACGCTAGTCATGTCATTTTCTCGTCATCTTATAAGAATCTCATTGTTGTATATACGTAATACTTTTAGCAATTAGATGATCTGTATTTTTATGTGCTACTATGGCGAAATGCTCACAGTTCATATGCATACATGCAGCGATCTCTAGATCAGCAGAATCATTGTTTTTAAAATTGCGCTTCTACATTTCGAAATGTACATTAAACTAGAATTTCTATGCCTCTGAGCAGTAGTATTGCCGTTCAAAAGCTCCTGATTTTTTTTTTGTTTCAAATTTGGAAATAGCTGCTTCGTTCCAGTCATGAATTCAGTTGTGTGTCGATGTAAAACATAGATGCACAAGATTATGCTAGTGGGAATAAAAGGCTGACAAATGCGGTGAACCCATCCACATTATTCCTGAATACGCTCAGAACTCCGTGGTGGTATTGCTCGTAACTGCGCTTTATGCCATTTTTGTGTGCCGCACTCCTACGTCGCCATGACAGGCTGGAACGAGACAGTTTTAACGAACGTTCTTCGCTTGTTTGACAAGTGATGCTAAGAAAGCTTTTTGAAATGTTTGGATCGATTATAAAGCCAAAAATGTTTTACAGCCTGATCCTATGACCTCTTATAAAGTATTTTGTGCCAACATGAACTCTTCTGTAATGTGTTTCTTAAGCTTTCTTTCCATCGGTTCTCTATTCAGGGACGGTAACTAGGCGGTGACCTACTCATTACATGCTCTCTTTTTGTACACATTGCCATTTACCGTAAGTTAAACAACGTCTGATCTGTTGAAATCGATTACCGAATACTCAATTTGTATTGTTGTAGTTCGCTTTTCGTTTGGTGCATTTTCCAAATTGAAAATGCTGCCAGTTTTACGATGTTGCTGTTTTAACGGCAAGGTTATAGCATCTTAGGACAGTTCGGAACAATTTCCTTTCAAGGTTATATTAATTGTACAAAGAATAAAATTCATAATAGCCATCTACTCGAACAGTCTTATCGGATTTCTTCGTTTGTATGATTTGTTTGGCATCAGTTAGAACTCGTTCGTTAGCCTCGTTAAACATGAGTAAACTCGAGCAAACAAATGTTTATTAAAAATAAACTTCCAAGTAAAAAAGGGGATGTCGCTAAATTATTTTTAAAATAATAGATTTGATATTGGCTGAATAATATTAGGTAAAGTATCACAAAGGCGATATCCTATAAATGTAGTTTAAGACGATGTTCAGATAACCAAAGTGCTACCCGTCCTGCTCTAGTTTCCTTTGACTGAGCATCCCATTCCTTGAAAAATTCGACGACGGACTGGAAATGGTTTCTAGGGATTCTTGAAGGGAAAACAAGTTTTCTTTTTGAGTTCATAATCACAGTAGTTCAAAAAAGATCATTTAGGGAAATGTTGTAATATGTTTTAATTAAAAATCTTGAATAAAGAACATCTTCATGGAGCCATCTGTCCTACCTATAGACGGTAGCAAGGGCTAGCGCCGTTTATCATCAATATGTGTTTCTATCGCTAACGACTACTTCTTGAGGTATTGGACTTGAATTCCTTCTCAAGACTTTCACAAAACTTCAGCAGGCTACCGTTTCAGCGGTATCGTCTTCTTCAGAGCTTATTGTGATAGTCGATCATGTGTTTACACAGCCCTACCGTAATCCGAGACATTCAGATCTCGCCGATAATTTAAGAGGGGGCCACTGAACACTGTTTGCGGATTCTGCTTGTGTAGCCCTCTTGGACTACAATAGGGTTCGGGAATATGATGGGTATTTACAGAATGTTTTCGATTCATTTCAGGCTCTGTAGAAGGGGGTACCGCCAAATGGTAAAGATCAATCACAACAAACAACTACAATGCCGACGTTTACAGAAATCCGTACGCTGTGTCTAGGTAGTATGGAGACGTATTTAACCACCGGAACAGTTCGAGTGCTATAGAAATGGTACGTATCGTGATGGATTCGTACAGTAGGACATCCTAATGCCAAAAGCTTCGATCCGTCTCGGCTTACCTTAGGCCAAGGAAGTGGCCATTCTAGTTGATTAGGAATACGACCTTCAGGTACATGCCGCTCCAATTCGAACATTGTCCAGAATAGAAAAAGTCGTCGAAATGGTCGATTACGAGACCGAAGCACATGAGGTATTTCGCAAAATCCATGGTAAATACTATAAGTAGTTGGGAAAACAAACGCTTCAGAAAGTGAGAGTTCGCAGTGGTTCGAAAGAATTTCAGAAAAACCTCACCTGAATATAATGCTGCTGATCCAATAACCCATAACGACGTCGACGGAATAGTGAACACGTGAGATCACAACACATATCATGGCAGAAACACAAGATGCAATAGCTATTACCCTTAAATAGCACACCATTTGGGCTATGGTGGTGCCAACAACACCGTCCACCGGGAGACGGGCAGTAGGAACGATTCTGTGTAATCGATTCGCCGCACGCGGCTGTCGCGAACCATACGTTCGCCCTTTTACAGTTCTAGTCTTCTTCATACAGATCAANAATCGATATGCGAACCTTATTTTAGGCACGATTTCACTGTTAGTTCCTCTGTTCCTGTATTTCTTACCCGCTGCTCCATTCTGCTATATTCTTTCGCGCGCGGCGTCCCTCTCGCCGCAACGCGACAATTTCGTCCCTACTGCACCACACCCCCTTCCACCCCTCCGAGGTCGGTGAGTTGGTACCAGACTCGTCTGGGAGGATAAAAGCTCTGGTTTGTACGTGTGCTAGCCAACGCAATTCATTGTATAGGCCACATACGCATTCAGTACGCCCCTACCATTCTGAATGGAAATCGAATGCGTGGGCGATTGATCAACGCCCGAACAATTTTTCCTTTGAAGACTTTAGGCACTTTTCAATGGGGAAGATGGTAGACTATTTGGCCGGATAGAGTATCCCGCTTTCGATAAATATTGCATCGAAGGGCTTCAGAAAATAAAACTGAACCTACTTCAGGGGCCATAAAGAATGTGGTGTATAATAGTTAAGGAAGAAACAACTTGTTGATATGGCTGTAGTGTGTCCGGAGAATAACATATCGCCACAAAATAGTTTATCCTCAGTTAATTGCACTTGTAATCCAAACTGGAAAAAATTGTCACTGCGAACGACAGGTGGTCAGCTGAGGGAATTATGCCATCGAAGTGTGTTCGTAATTTGGTGTAACCAAAGTCGAATAAAAAATGTTCTGAAAATGTCTAAAGGCTTACAGTTAATGAGACGCTCAAAAACTTGGACAGAACACTGTTTACAGTAGGATGTGGATCGGGATTCGGTGGTACGCAAATTCTGTAATTCACTATGAAAAGAACTGAGTAAGTAGGCATATTTGAGATGTCTAACGCAGTGTTTATAGTCAACGCTAGGCTGCAAAATGAGGAAATCTGCTGGAATGATCGCCATTGATTGATTGGGTCGGCGAGCCGGCGAATTAGAGAATCAGGGAGCCCGCGAAGGGAGGTCGCACCCCATCGAAAGCCGTCGTAAGTAAGTGAGATTGGGCAGCAGCTCGTAGATCTGTTGGAACGGAGATGTGGCCGAGTGAGTTCAACACCTTATACTTCATTTCCAAGAGTATCGAGCTGAAAACGAACGGATTTTCGCTTTCCTGGAATCCTGATGGAATATGAGTAAGACAAATGCTAATAGCTCGCATCATGTATAGTACAGTAAGGATGTAGCAAAGACGTCGAGTGACAATCCATCTGAAATGGGAATCATTGTGTTATGCTTGATGTTGTCCTGAAACAGTCACATTACCGGAGCACGGGAACCCATAACGGGAGGTAAACAACCCATAACCTGACGAGAAAAGAGCCATTGCTCATGGTCGAGCAGATCGATATTGATTGGACTTATTGGGTACGCAGCAGTTGAACTGGGCTTCGATGAGTGACTATAGCGGACTTCGGGGACATAGATGACTGAGGAGATGAAGGTTTTACCAGTGGGGAGTTGAAGTATGATCCATATGGCTGACTTACCCTAAGTATTAGACTCCCATTACGTCCCAGGTGGGCTGGATGGGGCGGGCTGACTAATTCTTTCGACCATTGCCTTTTGCTGCTCAACACTTGATTATTTGTAGGTGGTTTAATTACAATTTATGTACCTGTGCTTGTGGAATACACAGCAGATAAGTATCAGTAAAAATGCTGCTGCAGCTGTAAAGAAGTCTCCCATATGTCTCAAAAAGTCGTTCTGAGGAATAATAGAATGCGCGAAATCGGGAAGTGGCAACCTGAATTGATGAAAAACATCATAAATCATTTTTCGTTTATTTTCGGTTAGCCACTCATTTGACTTCCTCCCAGAATCATGGTGGCATTTGAAAGGCATAATTGGTTTCCAAAGTTACTAGTGAAGCCCAAACTATGTGAAATGGAATCAGTCCTCGGTCTGGGGTGCGCTTCGTTGCGCGTGTCCGTCGAAACTAGGTCACGCCGCAGCCGTCGCATGCGGCGGGTCAGCCCGCGATACTTGACAGACGTCGCAGCTGTAAGCGGGGCATACGATTTGCGCTTTCTCCACGGTAGTCAGCCAAAGAGAAGATAACATAGACAAATACAAATCCTTCGCTCCACTTACACTTGTTGGTACTGTAATGTCTTCCCGAGACCTCAGTGGAGTGCGCCGNGCGCGAAGTGGGCGGGGTGACCTACTTTCGACGGACACGCGCAACGGACGTTCGCCCTCGGTCTGTTGTAGCGATGTGCCTCGTCATTGCTTGATGTGTTCTGGATCGTAGTGGGGATTCGAATGCGTGTTCGGCCCATCAGTGCCATTGATACTAATTAACCGACCACGGAGGGATGGAAGGCTCGGTTAGCCTGAGCGAAATCCCAGCCGGTATTTGATCCCTGAACCACGCTTACGTGATGATGCACCCTCGCCACTACACCACCTCTTCCACTTAGATACATCGGTATTTCTCCCATTTGAGAGATTCGTAAAGAAAAAACATGCATTGACTGAATGTCATGCATAAACTCACTGGCTTATAATATCTGTTACAACGGCAAGTACGAAATGGTTAATCAGTCCGACGATCAGAAAAGAGATCATAACTAAAAGTGTTTTAAAGCGCTCCGGCTTATATTCGCGTTCATTCATATGTTGTAATGGAATATGAATTGTAAAAGTTTCATCTGAAATCGAAACTGTTGTTAAAACGAATCCTTAAGTTCTGTAGGCTATGGAAAGTGATATTCCTCCTTAGTAATCGTCAGTGTCGTAAGTCTTTTGAAGCAATGGTAAGAGGGTGATAAGGACGAACCTTGCGTTCCTCTACAGTAACAGCGCTGTTCGATGACCACTCTCGATGGACAAGTGCATTTCGTTGATGCTACCGTGTACGACTGCATATGTAATAGTCAAGTATAACATATCCCCAAGTGACTAACTGGGTTTTACAATTATTTTGTAAAAAAAAAACAATGTTTTGGCCCCAATAAATCCCTGCTGCCCAGTGCCCATGTGATCGACTACGCCTCCATTGACTGCTTTCAGAGTCAACCGGCCGGAGGCGGCGCTAGCACTTGTTGACAACACTGGCACATGATCCATCGGCGTCCAGTGTTTTCAACAAGTGACTATCGCCGCCGCCGACCGACGGATTTTGAAAGCAGCCATTCAGAATCGTGTGACTTACTGAAGCCAATCACANACCGCCGCTTCGAAGTCCCACACGGTTCTAATACCTATCGATCGACAGCTGAGAAATGGAGGGGTCGATCCGACCATAAGCGAACATTGATGAGGGATTTACCCACACTACACTTTTATAGGTATCGCACATGACACTACCCACCTCTACCAGCCGCAATGTTCTTGGTCGAAAATTCTAAAGTTCAAACCCTGAATCCTTCATTACTGGGTATATTTCCCATCCGTAACGAGCAGAGTATGGCTCAAGGGAAATTATAGTAGGGATATGCGCGATACTATGTCATCGCACAGTCGTTGTTGGCGGTATTTCTCCCCGAATTCCCACGACAGCCTTAGTGGTTCCGCGGCGATTTCCGTAACCTAACACGGGACGTTTTCCTCTTCAGCGACGGGCGTTCCTTCAGCCGACGCGCCAGCCTTATCAATGCTGGATGCCCATTGATACCGACTGAACGCAATCTGTCCTTCGTTGTCAACGTGTGGTCAGCAACGCTGTCGGTCGGGCGAAAGTTGGTCGAAACAATGCACGTCGGTGAATTCGGAGAGCACCCGCTGTCAATATAAATCGTAAACTATCACCCTTCCTCCGCATGACGGTCGATCGATAGGGGCAAGCGGGACAGGCCGTTCGGGGAGGGACTGCGATACCCGCGTTCGCCGCCCGCGTCATGCATGCGGTGCGCACAGAGACGCGTGGAGTCCTTTCCAATCGCTGATATCGAGAAACATTTGTTCTAGCTACTCCGCCACTAATTGCTTTTTCAACGGCTAATGGAAACAACCTCAGTTGACCAAAACAACTTGCTCAACTAACTTCTGATGAGAAGGTCGAATCCTGAAAGTGGATAGATGTCAATTCAACTGCGAGTGGTCTGTTGCTGCTGTTCTATACAAAGCATTAGAGCTTAGAAGACTCTATTCTGTGATACGATGAACAAAAACTCTTGATAAGGGCTATCCCTATCACAAGCCCTTTTTCTCAAGCAATGTTCCCGACAAGCGGTTGTGGTAGCATGCCGTCGTACTTTCGGAGCTCACCTTAAGTGAAGCGGTTTGCTGCCGCAGCGGTTGCCCCAGTCACGTCACTATGGACCAACATTCAAACCTTTTTCCATTTCCTTTTTCCGAAGATCAGATCTCTTCTTATTGGGTTATGATACCTTCCTACAAGTCCACTGCCGTGCCCCACTTCGTAATCTTTCGCTCTGCGCTGTCAGTGTCCGAGGCGAAGTCAACCGTAGCGAAGTTGACGTACCGCTGCGGCTATGCTCTTAGCTGCTTGGTGGTTAACAAGTGATATGCGAAACCCAAGATAGAAATCGAGCCTTACTAGTACTACTTCTTGTTGAACGGAGATAATACTCACCAAGTTCTTGTCACTTGCAGATGACTTGTTGAATATAACCTTTAAAATGCGCGATTTATGAGGACCCAAGTTGTCTTGACCCAAATGAATATGAAAGTTCTATCTCGTGGCTGAAGCGCTCTCTTTAGAGTCGGGTGTAGGTAGTGGTGGCCAGTCCGGAAGAGTTGATGATTTCGATTACTCAACCTTGAGATATTAGAAGCATGTTAGTCGTGGCAAAGGGGCTCTATCCCTTCTCTTCCCCACACACCTCCTTCCCCTTTCTTCCTATGGGTTATATGTATGCGGTAGGGGGGGGGGGGGGGGGGGGGTTATGCTGTAGGGGGCTACTAGTGCCTAGGCCTAAGCTAGCAATGCGTAGAGCTTACCGATATGTGATCGTTTTCCTGGTAACCTGCCACCTCCGTGACCATCGACCGCACAGGTAAGGCACAAATGTACTAATATACCTACTTTTCAACCCACTTCGGCTTATATCCAGGTTGAAGTTTACCACAAGTTCATCTCAACCTTATCCTTATCAGTAATTCTGATCTTTCAAGCATTTCCATTCCGATTGCTTTTTGGAACATCCTTTCTCATACTCTTCTTGGTTGACCTTTCGCTTTCAGTATCCTCTGTCCTGAAACTTCTGGGATGGCTCGGACAAAGGTAATCTTTCAATACAGTTCATCCTATTTCTGTCTATTATAGAACTTCTAGGAGCTCGTAATACTCTTTGTAAGTCTTTCGGCAAGTTTTCTGTTTTATTAGCTTGTCGGCTTGTCCCTGATGATGATGTGGATGTAATGGAAGCATTAAATGATGAAAATACCTTCGACTGGATTAGAGGTGTGCTGGGTCATTCACCGAGGAGACAGCTTTAGAAGGGCCTTTTCCCAGGTGCTCAGTTTCACTCCCTCATCAGAAACCAACATTGAGAGATGTAGGTTTCAAGGACACTTTCGATAATTTTGTAGGATGTACGAGACTCTTTTTTGCTTTTTGTCAGCTGCAGTATCTATGCGTTTTTCCTGACTTCTCCCTCGTTGGGCATGAAGGGGTTGCATTCATACTCGGCGATTGATCGCTTTCGGACGAGAAGATAGAAAGAGAGAGCTTGGATCAAGAACAGGGGACATGCAGACGCTCGAGAGAGTTAGGAAAACTTAGCCTTAAAATGCAATAACTCCAAAGAGCGGAACGCTTCATACTTTTGTGTATAAAGTTCTGAGCGACGTATTTGCAGAACTAATCCTCAAAGAAAAAGACGAACTACTTGACAGCTCCAGTATGTTGCCAGATGAGCAGAAAACGCTGCAGCTCCCATATTGAACTATTCAACCATTTGATGGACACTAATAATGTGCTTTGGGAAAAAAATCACCTCATCAACGAAAATAATATCGCAGCAATAAAATTTTTATTCCCCATACAACGTACAATAACACACTTACATGCACATAAGAATAGGCACAACCTAAATTGGCTACATAAAAGGTAGAGTAACGACCGAGCAATTCGAAACAACCACTTTTTGTGGGTTACTGGATAGATTGCTGTTTTCATAGCGACCAGTGTCCGCAATACGTAACAAATAAGCGTGCCTGTCCAATAGTAGGTATCGCGCCGGCTCAATTTCGCTGGTAGTAGACGCGCTTTGACTCATGTCACAACTTAGACGAGGCGAATCCATCCCATATCAGTCGTGCCATTTACAAGCAAACAAGTATAGGTGACTATACATACATATAAGTTTGGCTGTTTGCTGTTATAAATGATTGAAAAGGCTGCAGTGACTTGGAAAGGTCACAATCATGAATTTCAAAAAAATGTCCTGGATCAGAGATATGAAATAACATAATAGTCAGTGTCTACGCAGTGACTCAGTAAACAATGATAAGCCTTAGGATGACTGCAAGTAAGTCATGATGTATTATACTTTCCCAATGTGACGTAGATGACGATGGTGGCGAGCGTGACGGTACATGTGTGGCCGAACAAGCGATCTATGAACCACGACAATGTCGTCCGTTGCATCGTTGCCTGTTGACGTGAATAATGGCTGAAAACTTTCAAAACTTTTTCAAATGTATGGCAACTCGTTGAAAAGGTAGTCGGGGAGGAAGAGTCCCTGCCTCTTGCACGGGTAACGGAACCTCTCCCCGAATCCCCACGGTTTGCTGCTGTGGCTCCGCGCGACTCTCCGTATCCTTCCATTGCGAGTTCAAATTTTTCCCTTTACAACGCGCGATCGCGTGCGGCGAGCACGACACGCCGTTTGGGGAGAAAATCCAGGCCCCTCCAGCAATAAGCGCGGAAGCGCAGAGAAGCAGGGTTGGCTAGCTTGGAGCCCATTACGGTGCTTAGGAATTAGGAACGCTTCTTGCTCTGGAAAAATAGATTTTTTACCCAACCCTCAGGTGGGAAGGTGCATCAGTAGGAGTACTCGACTGGATGTTGGACCCTATTCCAGCTTTCCGCAGGAGCCACCAGTCGGCTATTCCTTCCCTCTTCCCCAAATACATTTTCACCGGCAGTGAAAATTGCACGGGTATCGGTAGCCACGGCGTGTTTTCAATACAAACCCCCATGACCGTACTGAGGCTTACAAATGGACCAGGACGATTCCACCACAATAAGTTGTCTATATTATGAAGCCAATCAATTCAATTCAGTGAATAAATAGTCGAGAAAATAAGTAAGCTCCCTAGTCAGAATCATGAACACCAGCTCTATCCATGATATACAAAATGTGGCTCAAATCCTAAGGTTAGCTTCCCCTTGATCTTCAGACCACTGAACTATCGAAGGCCCCATGTTGATTCCTGCATCGATGGCTAAAAGAAAAATAATCGCCATATCGAAAACGAGGGACCGACATAAAAATAAGAGTGAATGGCTATGAAGAGAGCGCAGACGGTGAAAGAGGACGCTCCCTGGAAACGAGGGGTCGGCGGCATCGACAGGTAAATCAGCATGGGCCTCCGTACCCAAAAACAGAAGAGTGAAGATCAAGGGATATTTTTTTCGGAATTTTTTGAACTATTTTTTATCTCTTCCTACACAGACTACCATGCAGAGTTCGATTATCTGGTTGTTCTTCTCATGCATAACCTAAGAAGATAGTATTCTGAACTCAAAACCCTGAATGTCTCCATGCAGCGTGTGCATGACAACGTAAAGGCTTCCGGCTGCTCACTCTGAATATGGAGTTCGCTTAAGCGGCTGTCTCGTTGAAATTTGATTGAAAACAAAATATAAAGTCTTTGACGTTATCAATACGGCCTATGAGGTGCGCCCTGCATTCAACTCCCATTCAGAGTCGTGTGACGGTTCTGGACGGTAAGTGAATATATAATGATTTGTGTTGGCTAGCTGATGGGCAGGTCAGCGGTTTCATCCTCCCAAACGAGTCTTGCAGCGACCGGCGGTGGAATCCGACCAGCGACGGGATGGAAGGTTTGCTGGCCTAGTTGAGTCTTGAAACGCGGACGTATGTGTGTGTGTTAGAATAGCATTCAGGTCCTCTAGATTAACTTGATCTTGGAACTCGTCATAACTTTTTCTTATTAATATCAAAATAGAAGTGTTGAAAACATAGAAAACAAAAAATTTAGATCTGATGATAGGTTAAATCATCCCGGATGACACAATTTCTAGAAAGTCGAAAAAAAATATTAAGTGTCTTAATAAGCGAGTCACTGACGCTCTGCCTAGAAGTCGGTTGAATTGGATGATTGTGACGACGATGAGACCGATGGGTAGTTGCATCAAGTAAAGCGCTTACAGTCAGTACCAAACCAACGACAAGTAAGGGCCGCATTTACTCTGCAAAGAAAGAAATTGGTAAGCCTCCGTGGAACACTGGACGTAAAAAATGCAATTTCAAGATTCCTTTACGTCATCACGAGTATAAGTAAAATATTCAACTGAAATGCGAGTCTGCCACAAAAGAAAGGAAACTTGAAAAAAAAAATGGGTGGCAAAAGAGGATTTTCTGAAGATTTGTTGTGGTGTTGGAGAGTACATAACTAATAGGAAAAATCTCTTCAGGACCACTTGGAAGGAATTCGGGTGAGAATCAGTTAACGTTTCATGTTTGGGTGGACCAGGAGAAAACAGTGGTTGTTGAGCTTTTCGCCCTGCTTCATACTTCAAGTGGAGCTCTTGTGACTCTGCGGCAAGGAGAAGGACTGGTAAGCAACCAAGTTAGGATTTTTCGTCTCTGAAAACATGTCTCGTCACTCACTCACTCCTCTCAGAATACTCCACATTTTAGTTCTGACGCCTGATAGCGCCATGTCCACTCATTTTTTTCCCCTGCGAACAACTTCTTGCTTCAGAAAAAGTGACATGTGAAGAATTATTGACAACTAGGGAGGAGTTAGTGAATAGAAAAGAACAAACAACACTGAAGAATGACTCTCGAGTGAGATCTAGGGTGATAAAAACAGCGACCACACATAAGTAAGTAGTAGGGATGGATATGCTAGCGAAACCAAATTTCGTTGAAGGAAGCAGGTCGACGTGGAAATTGGTTGTAAATATTATTATTTTCGTGATGGGAAACCGAAAACACTTTTCGTAAACGACGTTAGCCGCCTGCAACGGGTTAGCTCCATCAGGAGAGGGAGGCATCTCAAGTCCACGCCCACAGAGAAGCTCATTTATTTTCTGAAAATTGTCTCTAATACTATCACATTTCAAACGGAAATGAGGGCATTATTCCCATCGAAGTATACTGGCTCACTAGAAAGGCTTGGCATTACCGTATTCATTATGCATAGAGATAGTCAGAACCCTTGCTTTTTCCTCACAATGAAATTGAGCTACCGGATGAAATGCATCTGGCCTTTTGAGGTGTGGAGGGGAATTGAGTTGACAAGGCGCCATTTCTATTTTGAGACTCACGGCTTCAAAATACGCTGCTCGATTTTACCCTACAGATTGTGAAAAAATATTTTGGTTTTTAAAGTCTCTGAATTACTTCAATCACATTCTGGCGAAGAAGAGGTCTCTCATGATGGTGGTTTCTGGGGTAAGGGCGAGACAGAACAGTAACGGGTGTTGGTGATGATCAGGCTGACAACATCAGCAAGGCCCGCTCCGAACAACCTCCCTGTAATTCCCTTATTCATTCATATGATGTGAGGCTTGTCTTGAAAGATAGAGAATGGGAGTAACCACTGGCTAATCCTTATTTGTCCTTCCGTGGCTCCTCTGCACATTGAGACTGCTCTTTAACTTTTAATCGATGTCAGATACAAGGCGCACGCCAGGGTCACTGGGCGATGAATTCTCTACCAAATCTTTTGCCCAATTCCAGGATAGCTCGATCCATCGCAGTTCTTCGATTGAGCTACAGGAAGAAATCAATCGATGAAACTAGGTAAATAAATAAAAAAGCTCCATACTCGGAAAGAGAAACACGAGCTCTACCCAGCCCACACGATTTGCGGGGGGTCCAAATCCCAAGGTTAGTTCTTCCTTGATCTTCAGCTCATCGAACTGTTATGGGCCTAGGAAGGGCAGTTTCGGTTCCCGGCACCCATGAATAAAAAAAAATAATCGCCATATCGAAAACGAGGGACTGACAAAAAAATCAGAGTCAATGGCTATGAAGAGAGCGCAGACAGCGAAAGAGGGCGCTCACCGAAAACGAGGGGTCGCCGGCATCGACAGGCAGATCAACACGAGCCACCGTACCCATAAAAGGAAAAGTGAAGATCAAAAGATAATTTTTCCGAGATTTTTATACAAATTGTATCATTTTCATGTTTTTGAACAGATTTTCATGCTGAGCGCAAATATCGAGACCGTTATGTTGAAGGAAAGTTATGAAGGAGATATCACTCTGGACATAGTACTCATGCCGCTTGCCCTGTGGTGCTCATGCTGTTTGGCCATGTCTGAGATTTTCAGCTGCTGATTTCACGAATGCACTTCAGTCATCAGATTTTTTGTTTAGAGCCTTTCTTTTTCCAAATGCGTAATGGTCAAGAACGGCGTTCGCAGATAATCCCGAAAATTTACTTAGAAAGTGAACAAAATGTAATAGAAACCTGGATGTTTCCTAATAGATCTTCATTTTTCATTTTGCGCTCAGAAGCCTAGGTTTTACTACTCGTTTGTGACATGGACATCTTATCTAGATTGAGAAGGCTTTTAAGACCGAGAGCAGAAAATTTTGGGTTCCAGAAAACTCGTAGATTTGGTTCTGACCATGAGAAGGAATTCACGACCAAGAAAAAGTTGTCGAGGGGTTATTGAGCTTATTCGGAGTATTCAGTGCAAGGGCCGACATTCACAAGATGACGGCTCCCAGAGGAGCTGTTAGGCCGACTCGAGCATTTCATCTACCAACAACTCAAAACGCGTCTCACATTCTCCCATTGACGAGCGGAATATATTACATTGACAGGGCCGAATCCATGGCTCTAAGTGATTCTGCTCACCAGGGAATTCGTAAAGTACAACATTTTTCTCCTTGAATGTTCGATGGCAAAGGGGGTCCACTATTTATACTCCTTACAATTTTACAAATACGTATTCACAGAACCCAGTTCACGACAGCTGAACCTCCCACATGTATGAGTGTGTAGCGAAAGATAGGGAGATCTAGAATTTGATACTACAGCTGACACCTGTGTGGGAGAGTATACATACATATCATTTACTTTAGCAGCTTCGTACTCAGTTTCTCGGGCAACACAGTCGATGTACTTCCCCTGAAGTTGCTCCATATTACAAATCCGCCGCTTAAGAAGAGCCATTCGTCCCTCCGTAGGCGGTAGCGGCGGTGAAGGAGCTCTAGTCAGTTTTAGGGCTCCCATAGCGCTTTTTTCTGGGTGTTTCTTTCTACCTTACCAGTTAGGACTCCTCTGCTCCGCATGTGAGTCAAAACCATAGTTCGCAGCGATTAACTTCTTCGATGCCAAAATTTGTTCGTAATCTCCAATGTTTTGATTGTACTTCGTCCATCTCTTATAGTGCGACACGAGTATCAGCAAGAAACTTAACTACGAGTTGAGCGTCGTGGCCTCTTCTGCATATCGAAATCCTATGGAGATGTCCACAGAATAGGCTAAATAAGGTGCTGTTCAAACTTTCTATGTTGCCATTTCGAATTCCTTTATGATAATATCGCTGAAGAGTTTTCTTGATATCTGCTTTATCCCAATACAATCATCCATCTCATTCCTCGGGCAAACAACACCACCGGTCATATAAAAGTCGACGGAACTGGTGAGCAATTTCATTTCTCTGCCTCCTTTTCGTCCAAGCCACAGGGATCATGGGTGACAAGTCGTGCTATATGGGCGCTGGAGGCTATCAAGGCTACATGGGCAGTGGAACTGGTCAAGGCTACGCTCGTGAAGAATACGCTGGCAGTATGGGCGGCGGTGGTGGTGGTGGACAAGATCGTAAGCCGCTTGATACTATTTGTTACGTGGAGTGAGACTTTTCGAGTGCAAGGGCTGGATGGAAGATTAGATTTTGTAGGCTTTCCGTCTCTGTCCGACGAAGTTCCTTCTCTGAGGATTGTGGGGAATTCGATGTCGGTCTGGGTGGGCAAAGCACACTGTTAGCTTTTAGGTCAGGGCACTGAATCTCTACCCTTGCACAGAATCAAATTGAGCAGAAGGGAAGCCTTGTATTAGATCTGAATTTTGAGCCCGAAAAGACCCTCGAGACGTTGAAAGAAACAATTCCATCATACAACAATCACCTAGAACTCATAGAAAACTATACTTGGGAAACCTTCGTTCTTTGCTTTTCATTCAAATGGTCCTTTTCGATTTCAGCGAACAAACCATATCAATATCAGTATCAGTATCAACCACAGCAACAACAGCAGCCTCCGCAGCAACCGTACGGCAGCTCGGGCTACGCTGGAAATGTTGGAGGAAGCGATGCACAGGCGTCATGCTACTTTGGACCGAAATGATTGACGATCTAACACAATAGAAAAGATTCTAATAATTCTGATCTCGGGATCACGAATGAATCTTTCGTAGCTCGATTCATGCGCCTTTGAAAGGTAAACAGAAGTATAAACAGCTTTTATGTTCTGGAAGGCCGTCAAGGAAAAGACATGCCAATCAGATAACAAAATGACAACAATTAAAAGGAGTAATAGACGTTTCAGAAGAACTAGGTGGTATTAGGATATTAGTGAATTTGTCAAGCTTCTTGCCAATGAGTTACAAGGCGCCTATCCTTTGTTACTGGAAGACGTGGGGATCTTTAGTTCCCGTGTCGTTGCAGTGCTTGTAGATTTAATTAGCTTTATGGTCGAAACAAGCGACTTCGAAACGTTTCATACTGATTCCGAAAACGAGAAAGATCGGTATACTGGTGATACACCTGAGGAGCGCATGAAGCCTCGCAGTTGGACAGGACCAACTGGAGCAGGACGCTGATAGAGCGCTCAACTGGAACTCAGAATCATAGGTAGGAAATCGTAGCTTCCGATCTTGATGGGATAGCTTGTGAAAGTTGTTGGCAAAATGTAAGACGAGCTAGCGAGTGCTCGAAGCCGCGATTTTGCAGTTGTGGCCATCTTGTGGCTATGCCTCGCGTCAGTTGCATAGAGTTCTTCCCTACTTGACGACTCTACCCTTGCATTTCTCACATGGGAAGGTTCAGTTCCCCTACAGCTCTTCTTCTATTTTCTACTCTATTGTCTCTCTGCCTTCTCAAGTCCAAAAACTGGGTACCGCAGTGAGGGGCACTTCGAATTGGCTTCGTAGTCTGCCACCAAAGTCAATTTACCATCACTCACATCAGAGCCTAGAAATTCATGTCCGACCCTTATACTACTGTGATGTATGTAGTCCTTTCACATTCGAAGCCGAGCAGCGAGGCCGAAGGGCAAGGTACGCATAGGACACTTCCTATCTAAAGCGAGAGAGGCTTCTTTTTTCGCCCTTCAGCACCTAAATTCTATTTCCCACCACGACTAGGTGACTTCTATAGACCGTGAAACTGCGGAACTGATCAGCTCGTGTCTACAAAAATAAAAAAAAAACAGGCTGTTTCACTACAGCGACTTTTGCCAGATATCATAAGCAAATGCAAAGGTAACCAAGTTAGAATAAGGGTCCGAGAGCCCTTTTCTCAGAGAAATTGAAACAGAGACTGCTTCACACCCCTTCCACTCTATGGCTTCATCAACGTTGCAAAACGAATGTCTCCGAAGTGACCCTTCAGTTAACATACCTATGCTGTGTAGGGTACTGGTCGCCTCTACCTAGATTTTGCTTGGAAAGACCTAGAGCTTGTAGAAGCGTCAGTGACCAGTTGTAATGCTGAACTGGGGTCAGTGATCAGCTGTAGTACTGAATTGGCAAAAACAACCCACTTTAGAAATTTCTTTCGATCCCACATCTTCAGTTATAGGTTTGCTAAAATCGCAGGCATGATAGCAACTGATTCCGAGCAGCTTACGTCGTTGTCCACCGCCGCTAGCCTTGATCAGTTCCCTGCTCATGTATCCTTGATATTCACCAGCGCCTATATAATACGACTTCTGCCTATTTGCTTTCTGCGGCATGTACGAGCTGGGGACAAAAGAATGAAATGCCTACCGCTTTTCCGGTGTTTTATATGACCAGAGCTGCTGATTGCCGGAAGGATGGCATAGATGATTGCATAGGGATAAGTCAGATCCCTAGGATGTCCTCCCTGTGTCTCTGGTAAAAAGAAGAAGTTTGAAATTACTACAGTAAAGGTCCGCAAAGTAGCTTCGTGTGCTCCTAGGACTTCCCGCCCAGATTATCCTCTTAAACCAGATGTCATGTCCAGGTAGCATAGCTTGACACAAAGTATCATGCGGGAAGATAATCAAGGCTTTTCCCTTCCTTTCACATCAGAAGTAAGACCCCTGAGTTCCTAGTTTCTTTGTTTACAAGCGTATTTGGATCAGTTTAGGCGTAAGATATCAACCGCCATTTCCAATTCGGTTTTCAACCGGTGTTATGGAATATCACATGACAACTCGTACGACTCACTCGACTTGCTGCGCTGTTCTCAACTGATGTCGAATAGACATGGTGAATGGAAAATGACAGCACAGTTAGTACTCTCAATCAGGGTACCCGTGCATAGGTAGACATCAACAAACTGGAGGATCCCCATTAAAATTTTCAGAGAGCAGAAACGAGCCATCTCATTTGCCGGAGACCGGAATCTTCATTAACACTTCATCTCTAACGAGTCCAAGAGAGCCGTCTGTTAGAGCCGGTTGTATTACATGATCTGCGGCATAGTGCATTGAGATATGAGATACCTCTACAGGGATGGAAACATCGAGCTGAATATCGACACGACGTCTGAAGTCGTATGAAGACCATCAGAGAATAAAATTTAGGAAGATGCTTCCCAAACGGCTTACGTTGCCACGTAGACTTCTTTAAGATTGCTTCACGGGAGGAATTCTCTAGTGATCCACCTTATCCCACTGAGATCATGCTTACCATCCTTGGGGCAAACAACACCACCGCTCATATAAAAGCCGACGAAAGCGGTGTGCAATTTCATTCTATTGTCTCCACTTCGTACAAACTACAGAAACTATGGGTGACAAGTCGTGCTATATGGGCGCTGGAGGCTATCAAGGCTACATGGGCAGTGGAACTGGTCAAGGCTACGCTCGTGAAGAATACGCTGGCAATATGGGCGGCGGTGGTGGTGGTGGACAAGATCGTAAGTCACATTACATGACTTGTTATGACCTAGATGTGAGGTATAGAAAGTTACTGGGGGAGGCCGCTCCTCCCAATGAAATATATAAGTCCGACCTGAACCTTCAGTCTCCTTCAAACGCTGAACATTGCTTGGAGCAGGTAAGGTTACGGGAGGCTTCCCTGAATCTCCTATCATATATCAATCGAATGATCATTTTGAGATCCGTCTAGAAGCAACTTTGGGGTGGTACGATAGAGAGATGGTAAATCGTTTTGGGGTCGACTACTTGTCCTGATCATCTCTGCAGGAGCCACCTAAAAAAACTTCTGTTCTCAGACCACTTCCGTCGAGTCTGAGATGAACTCAGGCAAAGACCTGCCAGTCTGCTAAGAACAGAACAAAATAATGGAGAGACTGTGATAGGACCGCGGTACATGACTATGACCGTTCGCATTTGGTATTGATGAAATTGTAGTTGTTGATAGTATTGATTAATAGGGAGTAGGGCTTTATCAGATTTGAACTCTGAGACTTGGAATAAAAGCAGCTTCATTTGTTCTACATTTGTTTGAGCCAGACTCTTCGATTTCAGCGAACAAACAATATCAGTATCAGTATCAACCACAGCAACAACAGCAGCCTCCGCAGCAACCGTACGGCAGCTCGGGCTATGCTGGAAATGTTGGAGGAAGCGATGCACAGGCGTCATGCTACTTTGGACCAAAATGATTGATGTTCTAGCGCAATAAAAATGATTCTAATAATCCTGATCTCAGGATCACGAATGAATTTTTTGTAGCTACTTCTGTGACTCGAGATGCACCTTTGGGCAAGAAACAAAAAGTATCGGGAAAATCGTATATTTCGTGACAATATAATGTATATTTCGTGACGTGACGACAGTGCGTGGAAAGGTAGATTAGAGTAACGTAATGGTAGAGTATCTGGGACACCAAGAGGAACTGACTGATACTGGAATGGGAACATTGGCTTTGGCAATGAGGTAAGAGTAACTGGGATGGGATAACTAGGTAGGGATAGTTTGTCGAGCTTCAAAGATCTTCATATTCGGCTGCTTTTGATGTAACTAACACCATCGAACGCTTAGGGATGAGTTTTACAAAAAGGAAAATCTTGGAATACTATTGATTTCTATAGCATCAATAAGGCTTTATACTTGGTTTTGATTCCAACTATTGAACCGTCTATTGGGACTTGCCAATGATGGCGATCATTGCTTCCCATCTCGACAGCTAAGTGCTACTGTTGCCGTGGTGGTGCAGACTACAAGTAGGGGAGGCGGTTTTCTGTAAGCTATCGTGGAACATGGATCTGAACAGTATTCAAAGTCCACAAAGTGGAAGAGCTGCACCCGTTGGGAGGTGCGCGGTTCAATGGTATGAATGGTTCTGTGGGAGCGACACCCCCTGCTCTAACATGTGGAAGTGGTTTACTCTTGCTCTCCGACACTTCACACGTGCCTTATTTCGCTAGTCAGCTTGTGAAGTCTGCGTGGTGCCGTGATTGATAGGAGCGGCAGTGGAAGCCTAGACATGTCGAAGAACCAGGACATCGTTAAAACTGTCACTTCAGTTTAAATGGAGGATGGACAAAAGTTTGCAGACGGTAGGCCCGCAATCCATCTGAGGCTACGGATCAATTTTGAAAAGCTGCAGGTAAATTGCTTGCTTGGGAAGTTAGTTTTGGAGGTCCACGAAGTCCAGTCCGCTGCTGTTTCGCACACTATCGCTCGAAAATGACTGCTTTTGATCAGAGCTTTCTAGTGAGCAGTGAGACTATTTATTAGCAAACAAGTTGTGGTACAGTCCTTGGAACGTTCCGACGATCATTTCTGAGTCATCTTCTCGGTAAAAAGTAGTGCTCTCAACACATTTTGCATGATGTTATCGATAACGTCCGCCACTTCGATGGTCACTGCTTGCACCTTGAATAGTAATTGACATGGGTGTGCATCTGACAACTCGACTTACATTTGATTTTACAACATGAGTTTGAATAGTAAAAAAAATCAAATAGAAAGACCTTACCATGAAATCGGAATACTCGCCAAAAATTGCCTCCAGACGTTTCTTACGTTCGTTCAATCCAAGTAACTTACTATTCTTCAGAGCATCCAGATGAACCATGGTGAAGTGAGTCTAAATGTGGTGAATTATTTATTCAAGATCGAATGGTCACAGGCCCTTAGAGACTCATTCTGACACCCTTTCTCCAAGTTCAAGTTTTTCTCAAACACGGATTACGCGCTTGTTAATCACTCCCACCTACTTGACAACAATCTAAAAAACCTTCGTTCTTTACTACTGCTATCCACCCGAAGATGTGAAAATAGGATCTTTGTTGGTGTCCTGTAGGCCACGGTCTGACCCTGTAGCATTTCTCTAACAATTGGTATCGAATCCATTAAGGAACCTTCTCAGTGATTTCCTGTAATCGCTCGTCTTGCGACAGCTTCATCAGCAACGCCTCAGCCTTGTATCCTTGATATGCGAGCTGCACCTCAGGTCGTAACGTACCAATCATTACATCGAGCTCGTTCACCTGAAATAGTAGAGGTGCATGGAGAAGGGTCACATTAGTCTTGCAGAAGTACTGATTATGGAGAAGAAACAAAAATATGAGCTGAATATATGAAAGTAGAGCTGATGAACCAACTTCAAGCAGTTACCTTCTTAGCAGTCGATTTTGTTTCGGTTAGATGAAATCGAAAAAAAACCGTAACTGTATATTGCCTTGGCAGCACGAATTCGAAGATGCCCATAAAGAATGTCATACCTTTCTCATTTTAGGAATCCCAACCAGTTGAAATATTGCCATGAACTGCTTGATAGCCTCATGGGTGGCATTGGAAAGAAAAAGAGGCTTTGGAGGTGGTTCGAGTTTGACGAGTCTCAAACTGAAGGGTTCCACTGTAACGGCAGGTTTCACATAACCAATTGATAGTATAATGAGTACGGCCAAGCCAAGGGCTCTCATTTTCGGCGAACAAGAGACGATTCAGGCTTTTGGTTTGGCAAAGAGCAGGACTCGAAAAGTGATGTTCAGTGGGTAGCTGAAATTGAGCAGGTACAATACGAAAGACGTCGATGTCGACTTCCTGGTCAATATTGGTAGGGAGTGACCACCAGAAAGTGCAATGTGGCATAGTTGACAGTCGTCGAGACCTTTTGGTTCAACGGTTTGTATTTGCATAGCGGATATCGTACACTTAGCCTAATTGTCTGCATTCAGTGCATTTGACACTAGACTTTGTCCATCTAGGAAACGGGCACTATAAGAAAGGGATGAGTTATGGTGATTGAAATTTTCTTGTCTTCAGTTGTATCTGCAGCGGTCTCCTGAATAAAATTTATATCTGCGAAGTAATTTCTAGCAGAATACGGTAGCACTTTCAAGTATTTATACGGTAAGTAAAGTTCTATGTGATTGCATAAATGGAAAGACACGCATAAGAGATCCAAAAGGCAGGATGCTGACTACAGATTGGTGAATTTCGCATCGAATTCTTGTTTCACGGAATCCGGCATTTTTGAGTACAGGTCTTGAATCTTCTGCAAGCGTTCCTGTTCAGGAAGACGTGGATTCGTCACCAATGCTGATACCTGAAATTAACTNAAGGCAGGATGCTGACTACAGATTGGTGAATTTCGCATCGAATTCTTGTTTCACGGAGTCCGGCATTTTTGAGTACAGGTCTTGAATATTCTGCAAGCGTTCCTGTTCAGGAAGACGTGGATTCGTCACCAATGCTGATACCTGAAATTAACTGGTAGGCCAAAACATTCATCCTGAATCCTAAGTCATGGATCAATAAAAACTTCTGTAGGAAAACAACGTCCCCACTGAAGGACGGAACGAGTTCCTTCATCTAAATGGCCAATACCGGTGACCTGGCTAACCCATCAAAATCTTGTTCGGACGTCAATTTTCATCCGGCAAGCAGCCACTTAGTCCTAGCCAGTTGAAGGCTAGCTAGAGGTCGCGTGAATTAGCTCCCATCCCGGAGTGTCGTGCAAAGAACTGGTGCACGATGTGCGACCAGGCGAAAGACGAACTGGTGTTCGCATATGGACTGGTCAGTGGTGAAATCAAAATCGTTTTAGAACGGGGTCGTAGGGGGGTGAGTGACAGTGATGACTAATTGCACTGACCGTTTACAATGACAATTTGAACATCAACGGAGAGAGTTTGTCCTTAACGCTCTACTTTTCAACAAAGGCGATGATTGTTCCTACAAATATGCGTTTGCATTTCAAAAAAGACTTTGGTGTAGCAGATCCTTTACGCAGCCTTTACGCCATTCATCCTCCAATTCGAGTTAGATATGGAGGGGGCTGCTTGAAGTACATTATTCCAAGAGGGTAGGAATTTAGCTCCGAAAACCTTTGCAAATTTTACGGTCTGGGCAAAAGCCTGTAGACCGAAGAGGGCTTAGGCCTCATCCCTCCTAAATCGTCTCCTCATCAGGTATAACCAATCTCCTTCACACCAATGATTTCAGGAGGCGAAGCGGGTGAGCCCAGCTGTTCTTTGCTAATTTTGCACCGTAATCTGCGACCACTGTATAGGATGAATGGTAGCTTTTCGTTGCCTTCAATACAGGTCAAGAGGGTGAAGGGAAAAGCGAGAAAGCAAGAAGACGTTCGAATATATGATCATCATATCTATAAACAAACCCTATCTTCTCTACACGAGCGCTACCTCATTCTTACTGAAGGGCTCGGTAACCATCACGCACTATTACTGTAGTCTCGGGAACAATGGAATCTAGCTATTGATGTTCTTCATAAACTTGACTGACCTTCTGAAACTGCTGCTGGGCTTCTGGCGACATAGCCGCGACCGCTTCATGAACCCGTTGCCGTTTCGCAGCGAGTTCGCTGGACGACGCTCGTTGATACTGAGCATAAGTATTCTGAAACCCATGAGAGAAACGAAGTTCAGAGTCAGTTTTGAAAGAATCTCCTTTTAACGGCTTGTTAATTTGACTGGTTATTTACTTGTACATCAGGGCTCATATTTCGGACGAGTTCTTCGATTTTCGCATTCTTCTCCGCTGCTGACCATGTTGGGTGCTGAACAATAGCGTAGAACTGAAAAGGGAGTTCCTCAAACGATTAGCTTTAGTTCGGAAGACAACTAAAGGATGCGGAGAAGATCCCTTCATCGTTCTCATTCCCTCTTCCTTAGCCTCAGACCACTCCGCCCCCCTCATATACAGGTGGATTCCTTTCCTTTGGCGGGAGGAGGAGGGAGGGGGTGGGGCGCCCAAGGTCCTACCGTCTGAGCGGATCCTACCCTTGTGCTGCAATCAAGATGAGATGCATCCATAAACATGGTGAGAAAACGGTTCAGGATCCTTGAGCGCTTTAATTAGAGGTGATCAGGGAGTTTTACCCCAAAAAAGTAACGAATTTACCTTGTCTTGGTCCTCTTTGCTCTGTCCTTTCATAAAAGGCGGTATAACCCTGACTGGCTCGGATGTAGGCGTAGGAGGACGAACTGCCTTAAACGAAGTGGGCGTTTGTATTACTAAAAAGTTATGAGAAGTTATGAGCTCATGAAGTATGGAATCAGTGAGTCGTGTTGACCTTTTAGAATCTCTGAATTCTCACCGGCTTTTCCAGTGTTCCCATAAAATCATCGCCCTGAAATCCGTCTGATCCCGTCGTCTGCATTTCACCACCGTAGCCTAGTGGGCCAGCGGGTCCTCCTTGATTGGCACTCTGAGGACCGAACGCACCCGGTTGATATGTCATCTGTTGAATGGGCCGTAGCTGATTTGGAAATCCGGGTTGTTGCAGGCCGTAAGGGCTCTGCGAGGCCTGAAGTAGTCTCGAGCTTCCCACGGGGATGTTAGGCGCAATTGCACCTCCTTGATACTGGTCCATGAGGTTGCCCTGAGCTTCATAGCCTGGATGTTGAACGCCAAACTGAGCGAATTGCGGAGCTGAAAAAGTCAGTGTACTTTAAAAGTTCACCGGCCTTAATCAGGTTGCTTTCAACATCGTCAAAGCATAGAACTGACCAAAATGTGCAGCAAGTTGATTATTTCCTGGCTGGTTAGGGATAGGATACCCGTAAAATCCGCCTTAATAGAATTGTAGGAGAAGCTTTGACTAGGACTTCGAACATCAAAAAAACCAACCTTGAACCATTCCTGGTGGAACTTGGCCGCCGGCCAGCATGGGGTTGAAGTTCGCGACAGACATAGGAACATTCCATTGAGCCTCAGCCAAGTTGGCCAGAACAAGCAGAAGAACGGCTAGCGTGTACATGCGCAGACGGAGGTCTCCCCAAAAAAAAGGTGCTACCCTTTTAAGGGTGTACGAGAACGAGGTCAGAACCTCAACTGCCACGCCTACCCTGAAATGCAACGACGACCAATTAGCTGCCGGCCGTGGAACACCGCGCTACCACTGGGGATTACTTGCAGGGAACAATGTACTGAAATCCTCTCGATTACCGGTTTTCAGTGGGATTAGTCGATCAATCCATTGGAAAACATCAACATAGACTATGAAAATTCCAATCAGAGCCACGAGATAATAAATAGGTGAGGCTGAAAGTTGGAATAGTTATGCGTATCAAAAAATATGGTTTCAAATTCTTGGAAAGACAGTGCTCCCAGGAAATTGGAATTGTCTAAACCCTTGTGAGCTATGCTTTCTATAGCTAGCCGTATCTGGCAACAAAATGGCGAATCTCTATTAGTATTTGGCTTTGTCAATGGGAAGACTGCTCTCAACAACTCTGGCTTACAGTACAGCCCTCTTATAACCAGTTCAATGATCTGATGGGATCGTGAAACTGTTCTGACCATTCTGCCCTAACAGTTAGCGAAACGTCTCCTGTTGGATAAATCATTTAGGTACATGGATGTCGGTACATGAGAGGTTGGAAAATATCAAAGGGAGTAGAAAACTTTTACGGAAGTGGTAAGGTGGTAGAAGTAGTGAGGTATAATGGGAACTATTTCACGACNTTACCCAGTTTCTTGTAAAAACAAGGTTGAAGTTTCATTTGGGAAATGAACCTCCTCTGAAAATCAAATGACCTGTATCCCCATGGGACAGAACACTTGAAAATAACCTGCCCAACTCATTAACTCTTTTCGAGAAATATCCACCTTAGTAAGGAACTCCAGTTCGAGTACATTTGCTCATCCATTTTAGTATGGTGACAGAATTTACTGGGAACGAGTTTCGATGTAAATGACCCAGAGACCTGTTTCTGACCGATTCGGGTCAGATGTTAATGTGTGGCTGCTTTTTCTATCCGGTCCTAGCCAAATTGCAGCACATGTGCATTGAACCAGGCGCGGTATAAAAAAGCCGGTCACCAGTAAGTGCACGTAGGGATTACTAGGGGAGTTTGATCATCTCCCTAAATCAGCCTGTCTCCGTTGATTTTCACACTGCAAATCTAGGTGAGAGCTAATGTAAATTTTGGAGCTTCCGCTCATCTACGTGTGAAGAGGGCGGAGGTGTAATGTAGGTCCATTCTTAAGTGCATGGCCCTGGGGTGGGGCCCCCGCCAGCCCAGCCTTCCATCCCTCCGAGGTCGATAGTTAATGGCTCAGTCGTCTGAGGGTATGGTGGGAGNGGGGGGGGGGGGGGGGGGGGGCGGCTGGGAGGGGTATAAGCACTGACTTGCACATCGTCTGGCCAGCCACTAGGAATCTGAATGGAAGTCGAAGACGGGTGCGTATCCCAGAAACGAGATTGCTTGATGTTAAGAACTTCTAGATCTCATGTGGCTAGAAGTAATGAACTTGTGAGATGTTGCCATTTGAAGCACAACCCGTCGTGTTCGGCGTTTCAAAAAGCCTTTTATAAGGTATTTAGAAGGGAGAAAAGGCTATATATATGTCGTTATTGGGAAAGGAAAGGACGAAGACGGTTACATCTCCCAAGTCCTCCCACAGACCGCATCCCAGGAGCTCCGTTTCTGAGAAATGCGGCATAGAGCGACAAAAGATTATTGTCAACCAATACAATGAAACTGGTTACTACCATAGCCGGCAGTGGAAATAACGCCCTACGGCTCTTTCAGCGAATTCCTGAACTTTCCATATACTGTCAGTCTTTGTTTAGAGCTGGGGTAGTTTAAACTTAAGGTTAAGAAGTAGTGGCCAGATAATCACGTGATATAATTGGAAATCACTCGAATATGAAAACATCAGTACGATATATAAAGATGAAAGCGGTAGGTTTCAAGTAGCCGTACGCTCATTACCACTTACGACATGGCCATTACTGACACATATGACAACTACCGATTGGAAGCCGAACATGGTTACAATGAGGGAGCAGGAGTTCAACGATGCCAGAAGAACATGTACGACATGCTGAACGATTTTCAACCAAGAATGAAAGAAATTACCAAATCTGTCACAAGCACGGCAAGTTCCGCTCTGAGTCTTCAGGCCATTTGAAAGAGGAAAGTGTTGTATTTGCAGCATAAGGTGTTCGCACCTCAACGACTTATCATGGAAGTGCTCGCTTGGTCAGGAGCTATGGCATTTGCCTCCTCCGTAGGATCCATTCTGGGAGCTTACGTATTTTACTCAGTGTTCGCTGCTTTTTTACCAAAATTCATTGCCTCCATACTTGCATATGTTGTCATTCCTGCAGCAATTCATGCTAGTATAAAACATGTAAGTTTTAACCAAAACCACGAGTTCTTTTTAGTTACTTCTCGGCTGTAGTGAAGGATAAATGCGGGTACTTGGGAATTTTTATTCCTTCACCCTCTTAAAGAAACGCTGGGGACATCGCAGATGCCACCTATTCGAAGCCTACTACGATGGCACAGACTGAGATTGAGCCACTCTTAAAATGAGATCGAAATCTTTACAGTGATACTTACTAGTTAGAGTTATCATTATCGCGTGCCCTAATAGCTAACTCCACCTATTTGAGCAATTAACTCGGGGGTGGTACATGACTTGCCAGGTAGGATGAGTGATGTAGTAGCCACTATGAGATAAGCATTCAAAGTTCAATGGTCGGGTTGAAGACCATTGAAATCATCAGGTATACTACTCATTACTGAAACTTTCAAGCACTTTCAAGCAGGAACTTTAATGCATCGAAATAGACAGACTTCGGCTCTTGCCTCGCCCAGGTACCCAAGTTCATGAGAAGCTCGAAGGTGGTGTAGTGGCAGTCAACACAATCACCCACGCATGATCCTGAGATCGAATACAATTCAGATAGTCGCCAAATCAAACGAGCGATGCACCTTGTGCTTGTATAACTTGATGTTAAACATTGAACGGTTCCAAGTAATGAAATCTGTTGCAGAAGGAGAGACAATATGAAAGTGACTTCAGCATTCGAAGGATGATGATAATATCGTCATTCGGTCAAGGTCTTTTTGTAGGATATACAATAGGTCAACGCCATCTTTCAGCACAACCCCTGGCTTTTATCACCCCCGTCGTCGCTTCGTTTGGCTACAGTGTAGGTTTAGTTTCAGGATTGCGATCAAAATGGGAATATGTAGCTGATAAAAAGGGTGTCGAACTTTCAGCAAATCGTGCGCCGTGCCAAGGGTGATCGCATTGTGCTTCTTGGAGGTACACTCGGTCCTGCTTTGGCCGTACACATGGTACTAGGAATTATCAGCGGCCGTTCAACCTCCTCCTACGAATTTCTGTCACTGGGTTATGTTGCACTCACTGGAGTCGCCATGCAGATGACCTTCCAAACCACCTTATGGGTATGTGAAAGTTTCACTGTGCACAAAACGGGCATGGGCCAGAAGGCGCTTCACGATGGGGGTCTTGAAAAGGAGCCAGCAAAAAATCGCCAGGGGAGGGGGGAATGCTCTTTCGATTTCACGATTCTGTGTCATAATTGCTCTGAGCTAAAAAACTTTGAATCATTTCTTCTTCCAGAGCCGAGGACACGTCTTCATGAACGTACATAACGCCCTCTATAACTTTTTCAAAGGAATGACATTCTACTGCTTCGGAACTNTGCACAAAACGGGCATGGGCCAGAAGGCGCTTCACGATGGGGGTCTTGAAAAGGAGCCAGCTAAAAATCGCTTAGGGAGGGGGGAAAGCTCTTTCGATTTCACAATTCTGTGTCATAATTGCTCTGAGCTGAAAAACTTCGAATCATTCCTTCTTCCAGAGCCGAGGACACGTCTTCATGAACATACATAACGCCCTCTATAACTTTTTCAAAGGAATGACATTCTACTGCTTCGGAACTTACATCGAATAGCCGAATAAATTATTTCCATACTGATTAATGTATATAATGAATTCAATGAGAGAAATGAAGTTCTTTTTTGAATAGGTGTCGGAATG